TGTGGCTATCGAGCGCTTGAAGTGTGGTTAGGTTAGTACAACTAAAGAGCTAAATTTTTAATTTAATCTAAATTTGTTTAAAATTAAATAGCTGTATATAGCTAGTGACTACTGCATTGGACAGCACAGCTCTAGAAAATGGATTTTATTTGTCCTGGAGGAAGCAGAGACCAATGAAAGCAGAGACCTGGAGCTCAGGAAGGTTCTAGCAGGGTTGGTATGTGAGTTGAAGCCACAGCTCTCAATAGGAAGTCTGCTTATCCTCAGCAGGATGCGAATCCTTCCAGCCTACATTCAGATGGCTGTTCTGCTCAGCTCAGTCCACAGAGAAAGAACTGGCACAAATTGTCCAAATCGGGTCAGGCACTTGGCAGATGTTTGCTAAGGGTAGTTCTTGATAGGGATCCCTGGTGAACTCTTACATTTCTCCTCCCACCCCAAGCCTCAGAGTGACAGAGCCAAAAGGACAGCCCCTCATTTTGCCGACACGGGAAAGATGCCTTAGTGAGGGGAAGAGATCTGCTCACAGGCAGAAGCAAGCAGAAGTGAGCTCTCATTACCAAGCAATTGTTGCCTTATGGTTAAGTCTTTCTTTAGTGATTCCACCAACATCCCTTCTGTGAACATTTCCCTGAAAACGGAGTAGGAAGGGGCCAGGAATGTAATTTTCTTTGCCCAGACTCCAGTTCTTAGAATCAAAAAAGCACTCTGCAGGTTTCAGTCCTGTGGAACCTCATGCAGTTCCCCTCCCTAATCTTCTCACTTCCTGTCCCTTGGGCCTGGACCCTGCCTGTCCCCATCAGCAGGCTCGCTGCAGCTCTTTTTGGGCTCGGTTTGGACAACCTGCCTCTGTGTGCCTTCACTGACTGCCTGGGCAGGGTGGGCAGGGTGGCTGCTTTTCCCTGGGTGCTCTTCACAGCCTAGATGGACTACCCTGTGACATAGGGTAGTCTGAACTCATCCTGCCGTTCTGAGTACCCTGTCTCCTGGTGGCCTCTCAAGAGCTCGGAGTTCAGGATATCTGTCTGTGCCGCCTTTCTCACCCTTGTATTTCCATCCCTTAACAATGGGGGGCCTGGCCCCAAATTAGACAAGTTACTTACCTTCTATGATCCACAACAAAATGGAGGGACAGTACCAAATTCCTAGGGTCAGTAGAGGATAGTGAGATAAATCATGCAAATCTCTTGTCCAAGGGCCCGACTGGTAAATGTAAATTATTTTTTCTTATTTTCTTGTTAGGAAAACAAATATATTCACAGAAAGGTAACTGATGGTGAAAGGCAGAGGGTTGGCAGTCCAACCGGGGATGACTGGGAGTCTAAAATGTCGTAGGAATCATAGGTCTTAGAACTTGAAAGGAAGGTAAGGACCACTTCCTGCAGCTGAAACATCCACCTCAGCTGATTACACAGCTGGGGCAGGAGATCCAAAGAGAGAGAAGGGCTGATGGGCAACCAGGGCCCAGAACCACCCCGCTTACAACCCCTTGCCACAAGGGGCTAATGGGTCTTAGCTGGAAACAGAGTAACGGGAAGGTTTCTATTCAGAAACATTGTAGGCCAGTGGTTTTCAAACTGCTGGGAGTAATTCATAGGCAGATCATGAAATCAATTTAGTAACTTTGACTGGTATTAAAAAGACCAGCAAGACCAGGATGGAAAATAATACACTGCAGTTCTCACTGCAGTTGAATGAAACCTTTTGGGTTGGGGGAGGCTAGAGAATAATTTCGCGGATTGATGTAGGAAGGGTGGGGACTTGAGTCACCTGCCAATTATGTCTCATCTCATTGGTAGAGCAACCTGTAGGAAAAGGATGACCTGGGGAGGGGGCTGTGGAGGGGAGAGAGAGCCTCAGTGGAGTTTGCACTATTATGCTGATGATTAAGGCTGTGTCAAAAAGGAGAGATTTACAAAGGCATGGGGCAGAAGCAATCACCTGGATGGAGCCTTCTTCCTCAGCTGGCACCGCAGAGAGAATCCCTTGTAGAAGCAATAGGGGCTGTCTGGCCTTTTATTATGATGAAATGCCTCTTATAATGGAGACACTTTGCATTTATAAAGCTCTTTATACTTCTAAGAGTTCCCAGCCTCTCATTTATTTTTCATAAGACTCCTGGGAGGTCGGTGGTGAGGTGGGGCCAGGAGAGGCAATGTCATTATTTCAGTTTGGACATGGGAAAACTGAGGATCTGAGCAAGAAGATTGACTGCCAGATGCGGGACTAGGAGATTCCGACCTCATAGTTTCTAAATAGGTGCTCTTTTCACACTGCAATGTGAATACTCAGTGTTTAGCGTGTAGGTTCAAGACCTTGGTTGCCCATTAGATTCACCTTGGCATCCCACTAGATTCACCTTGGCATCTTCCAAGAAATTCCAGTGCTTGCCTGCACTCCTCAGACCAATGAAATCAAGATCTGGGGAGTGGGGCCTGGGCATCAGTATCTTTAAAGATCCCTTTAGAGAGTCTAGTGCCGACAGTGTTGGAAACCACTGTCACAGTTGGGACCCGTATCCCACCTCCCCAGGCGTGTTTCCTTGCACCTTTGCCTTGGACCTTCTGGCCCTGGCTATCAGAAACCAGCCTTGGCCCAGTGCGGTCAAACTGCCTGCGAAGTCCAGCTTAGATGGATGCCACTGTCATTTTTGCAGAGTAATTCCTCTGGGGAGCTGCCACCCAGGCCCCATCCTCAAAGATGCAGTCTCCTGGGACCCCCAAAGAGGAGGCGTGAACAGGGAAGAGGGAGGCAGGCGGCTCTGACAGACAGAAAGCAAACAGCTCAAGGGGTGGCAGGCTGCATTTTATTCATCGTTAATTTAAACACCCTTCAAGTCCTCTTTTGGAGTGCTGCTCAGAAAAATAAATGTATTGTTTAAGAAACCCTGCTGACTCCCCTCCCCCGCCCCCAGCATGCTCTACCCACCCCTCCTGAGAGAACATGTAGCATAGAAAATAAATTGTAAAGCCACAGGGAGCTTCCCTAGGGAGGAAGGGGAGGAGAAGAGGCTGGAAGAAGGGGAAAGAGGAGCTTGGGCCAAGTTAGTGCAGAAATCTCATCGCTTCTCAACACATAATGGGCACGGGGCTAGGACGCTGCACATGCCTGAAGGTGCTAGAGCTGCCCCAGGGCAAGAGTCCAGGCCCCAAGTCCATGCTGACGAGCCGTCCTGGGGTCAGGAATGGTTTCAACAGCCCTCCCATCCCTTCCCACCCCACAGAATGGAGTGAGCATGTTGTACAACAACTGCGGCCACAAGGAAGCCCCAGCGCCTCTTCTGGACTCAGAAGTGCCCTAAGCAATCGTCTGGATGTGCTTTCCAGACAGTGTGCATGTGGAATTGTGCTTTTTGTTTGTTAAGAATGTAAAAAGTTACAGTAAGACGGAACCACCTGGCCCTTGGCTTCTGTGGTCTCCGCCTCTGTGGCTGCCGTCTGCCTTGGTTCCCCAGAAGCTTCTCCTTTGGCAGTGAGGGTTTGTCACCCCTCACCTCAAAGCAGGCAGGAAGAGGGCATCTGTTAGGAGGCCTGACTAAGGGATACAGGAGCCTGGATAAATGTAGCAGCTATTTGCCAGAGCTTGGCTTGGGTTTGGATACTGGCTTCTGGGTAAAACGCAAATTCATGCAAAGTGTTCATGAAGCTCCCCCAAGGCAGAGAGGAATTTTCCAGGCTCTAGCAGATCCCCAGAGAATTAAAAAATGGGAACTCTTTCTTCTTAAAATGGCCCAGACTAGGATTTTTCTTTTGGTAAAGGGGCTAGTCGCTCTTTGTAAGGCTGGTGTGTGTGTGTGTGTGTGTGTGTGTGTGTGCGTGCGCGCGCGCGCGCGTGCACACGGTGCTGTGATGTGATGTGATGTGTGATGCTCCTGAGCAAATGCCCAGGACTGTCAGGCATTTTCCGCAAGCTGAGGGCCCAAAACTGCCTGAACCTTCTGACTCCTTCACCAGGCCCAGAGGCTCTGGCTGCAGTCAGAGGACATGGGGCCTGACCATTCGGCCTTATTAGCAAGTAAAGATCCCACAGGTGGCTTATTTTACCTGGCTGCTCAGCTCCGAGAGAGCCCAGCTGTTTGCCAAGACCTTGGCCTCTGTGTGGTTTGAGCTGGATGGCGAGAGGCTTCTTAAGAGCCCCTGCTATCTTTGCCCCACAGCCCCAGCATTGGAGGGGTGAGTGCGGGCCTAAGGTTAGGAAGTGACTCCTTGTGCAGCGGGGAGTTGTAGACTCCAGTGAACAGACAGCTGTGGGTCAAACTGGAGACCCTCAAACAGTGGGAGAGGCCACAACATCTAAGAGGTTGGATCCCTTTCTTACTTAGCCTGAGGTTCCAAAGAACCTGTACCAAAGAAAGGGGTCCCTATCAATGTCACTGTTCCTGAAATGATAGGAGGACCCCATGGCTGCTTATTAAGGAGTTCTGGTTCTCAATGCCCACCCTCAAGCATAGTGTCAAATGAGCCCTTTAGGCGTAGGTCTAGGCTCCATTTATCTCTTGACCTCAAGAGCCTGGCTTTTCCCCAGGAGCATTCCCCAGCATCTGGGGCACTGAGCCCTTTGGCCTGAGGTGAAGATGGTAATGTACTCAGATGGGGGTGGGGGGACCAGAGGAACATGGGCAAAAATACACATGTGTCACTGCATCCTGAGCTACCACTGTACACTAGAGAACTGGTGTTACTTTGGGAGGTTGGTGAGAAAGAAGAGTCCCTTCCCTGCTCCCTCAAATCACGCCTGTGGTTCCTTCAGAAACTTGCCTAAGCTGCCCATAGTCACCTGCTTTCAAAAGCAAAGCATAGGAAAAGAAGTGAAGATAGCCAAGGCTGCAGCCAGAGCAATTTAGGATAGACTTTACGAAGTACTGTTGACAGAACAGACTTCCAAAGAAGGTTTCAAGTTTTTCTTCTAGGGAGGCAGGTCCTGTTTTCCTGCTCTGGGGATGGGATTCTGTGCTGTTCCTGGGCCTCACTTCCTCTAGGTTGGCTACTGTTTTGCCTGCTATTAAGTCCTCATGGTCTAGATGCCTCTGTCATGAGATCTTTACTTCCCCCTCTGGATGGTTCAGATTCTCAAGTTATTTCTCGTTGCCTAGGTGATACCTCTGATTGGATGCCTTTCGCTCTTTTTTTCTTTTAAAGGGATAAACCTGACACTATTTCTAGGTCCCATGAGAGGGCTCTGCCCTAGAGAACGTGTGCCTCTTTGAGCATGCAGTCCCTTCGGTGTGACCGCAGCCATCGCTCAGGCACAGGTGGGGGTGCTCGCAAGCTGGCCTGAGTCACAGTGGATCCTGGAAGCGTGGCTCTCTAGAAACCTACCTTTCAGGATTTAGCAACACTGACCTCTCTCCTGGCTGCTCCACCCTCCTGGCTTCACCTCCAGGTTAGTGCCCGTGTTGAAAAACCAATCCCAACCCAAATGAGAAGTTACCAAAGTAGCCGGAGAGTCACTCAGATCCCAACTCATTTTTTCCTTCCTGCCATGGATTGGAAGGGGAAAGAGGAAGCTGACATTCAAGCATGACTCTTAATGCTGTGTGTGTGTGTGTGTGTGTGTGTGTGTGTGTTCCAGGCACATGTGCTTCCCTCACTGCCAAGGAGGGAGATTTCACGACTTTCAAGGACTCTTGGGCAGACAGTGTGAGGCGTCCAGTGCTTTTCTAAGACTTCCTGTCAGAAGCTATATATATTGGTGGGCCACACTGTGTCTGACTAGACTCTGGCATTTGTCCTTGAGATTATCATCTTTTCAGATGAGGACATGGGCTGAAATGATGGGCATCTGGGTTTCCTCTAGGTCAGCGACTCCTATCTGGCAGAGGGTGAGAATCTGTCCCTCAACTTGAGGATCATCCAGAGCAAAAGCTGAATCCTAAAATTGCTTCCATCTACACATTCCATCAGCTCCCTCTCTCCTGCCTTCCTCCACCTCCAATACGGCCTGTGCAAGGAGGAAACTAATTCGCTTGATTATTAGTGGGGACCAAACGTTTAGAATGGGATGTGCCCCTCAAACATTATGGGCTCTGGAGCCAAATTCTCTGACATTTGTAGGATGGCTGCGTTGGGTTTTTGGTGCTGCAGGCCCTGGGGCCCCGTGGGTGCAGCTGGCACAGCCCTAATTCAGAGAAGGAGTGGGGCTGGAGGCTGCACTCAGCACTCTCAGGCTCTGTAAAGGGAGAAAACATTGAACTGATCAGTGGGAGTTAGGGGGAAAAAAATCCACACCAACAAAGCAAAATCTTGTCTGAGAAGACTCAGACATTCCTGGTTAATGAGGAAAAGCATTCTGGTGGATGATGCTGGTGAAAGAAAGGAGGGTTGGGGGATTCAGAGATGAGCCAGGAGCCTCCAAGATCAAACAGCTGAAGCAAAGCAGGGCTCCTGCAGCTCAGTGCTCCCCTCCTGGCAGGCTACTTGGGTTTCGCTCATTAGAAGTAGCTGCCCTATGTGCTGTGCTAAGCAGACTAACTCCAGGCTGAGAAAGGCCAACTAAGCCCCTTACCATTGCAATTTCCAAATCTCAGAGAAATGCCACAGTCCGCAAGTTGGTGCTATGTTTTATCTCATTGCATAATACTACACCATTCTCTGTGTGTAGCGGCTGTTCTATATATACATATATATACATCAGGAGGTAACAGATGGCTCTCCCCACCCCCACCTGTCAAAACTGTGACTATATCACTTCTGACGACCAGAAGGAAGCTGCTAGGCTGGGCCAGGATTCTAAATGCTGCGGAGGTAATTCAGAGCCATGAAAAGTTGCACCATATGTTTTGGGGTTGCCGGCTGCTTATGTGCATGGGGGCCGAGTTTAATGCCAGTCTGCAAAACCCAGGGCTGGCACTCTCCTCGCTGCGGTATGCACCGGGGTAAGGGTCTGGGGTGCCACTTTTTCTCTCCTTGGAGAATCTGCTGGGGCCACGGTTCTCCAAGAGGGGACCCACAAGGAAAACAGGCTCCCCCAACACCTGCCCCTGATAACATCAGGCCTGGCCAAATAGTATTTCTTTAAAAAAAAAAAAAAACTTTTTTGGTTTCGTTTTATTGGATAAAGATTAAGAAAGCGCCAGCGTCTGAGAGAAGGAAAGCAAGCCACGCCCAGCGGTACGCCAGCCTGGCGAGGGTCTCTGGCGCAGCGGGGCTGGCAGGCGGGCGGTCTACCTGGAGGCGCTGGTCTCCGCCAGGCGGTTGTTCATGATGCCCAGCGCGCCGACACCGCCCGAAAAGCCGTTCTGGCGCGTGTTAATGCAAACGCTGCGCGGGTAGCCGTTGGCCGTCTCGGACAGCTGCTTCTGCAGCAGCGCCAGCGACACCTTGTTGGAGGCCGTGAGGTCGCGCATGGAGATGAGCTCTCCCGACAGGCGGCGGCCCTCGGCGTCGCTGTCGCCAGCCGGGTCGGCGCCCAGTGCGGCCAGGCGGCGGCGCAGCCGGGAGCCCGGGGTGATGGCGTTGCGCCGGGCCAGGGGCGCGCCGGGTGCCGGACAGCAGCGCGCGCAGCAGCGGCAGCTCAGCTTGCGCAGCATCCAGTTGAGCACCTGCTTGATGAGGATGGAGATGACATTGAAGAGTGAGTAAATGCAGCACACGCCGAGCAAGATGAAGAGGAAGTTGCCCAGGCGGTAGAGCCCCTGGTTCCGGTAGGCGGCGTGCTGGCTGCTCACTAGGTCCCCGAAGCCGATGGTGCTGAAGGTGACAAAGCAGAAGTAGAGCGAGTCCACGTAGTCCCAGCCCTCCACACTGGTGTACATGGCCGAGGCGCAGCACGAGAGCAGCACGGCGAACAGGCCCAGGATCAGCAGCACGTGGTACACCGAGGGCTTCCAGCCAGCCAGGCAGTCCGCCTCGGAAAGCGCTGAGCCCCTGCGGAAGGTGGTGGGCAGCAGGCCGCTGCGGCGCAGCTGGCGCTCCCGGCAGGTGCGCATGATGAAAGCCAGCAGCGAGATGATGCGCTCCAGGAAGAGGTTGAAGAACAGGATGGTCCCAGCGCAGCCGAACAGCCCGTAGGCGATGAGGAAGGCCTTCCCGCCCACCGTGGCAGGGGTGGTCATGCCGAAACCTGGGAAGACAGGGCAAGGGTCAGCGAGTTCCTGGCGGGGCGCTCGCCCTATGTATGCAGGTGATGACCTGGCTCCTATCTTGCGTGGCATCGCTCAAGTAGTGGGGAAACAGTACTTAGACATGTCTCTCCTTTGGTGGCACTAGACATTGTTCCTGAATTGGCAGCGCCTAAATTGATGGAGGAGACATGGCCCCTCCTGTTGAGGAATCTATAAATCAAAATGGGTGGGGCAAGATGGTCCCTGGGAAGGACCCATCAGGACACACAAAACAATTCACAGCACAGGTGCAAACCACTTGGATACCTACAAAGCAAGTATCACCTGCTCTCTCAACCCTAGAATTAATTTTTTAATATAACCAGTGGCACATGTGTTAGGGTAGAATTCCATAGAGGCTTCATCTTATGTGGGATCTCTGGGGACCAGGTAGAGTGTGTTCGGTCTAGGTAGCTATATTTGATGGTCTCTGAAAAATGGTTTATGAAACTGACAAAAGGATTGTTTGAGAAAGAGTCCACAACCTTCAGAGTAAATGTGGTTCTGCCATTAGGTGTCAGCCCCTTCTCACCCAAGGACTACCATCACCCTTGCTCACACTTGCAGCCTGGGGAAAGGTTTTGGCCCTGGGGGTCCTGTGCTGCATGTGTCTGGGGTTGCTTTTGTCCTGGGAGGTCTGCTCTGTGCCTGGGCAAATGCTTATTGCTTAGAACTCTTAAAATTAAGTCTTAACTTACCTACTTGTTCAATGCACTGTCTTTAAGAGAGATTCTTTATCAATTGATTTCTGCAGAATGTTTGGCTTTCCACCAGTGTGCTCAGTCCATGCCATCCAGGGCAGCGCAGAGTGGCAGCTCTGCCCCTCCAAACAGCTCAACCTGCAGCTGTCTTTAGTATCTTTGCGGGACCCATGATTGCCTGACTCTGGTTATGGGAAGGGGTTTAATTTCTGGGTAGGAAGATTTACTGCTGCTTGGAATCTGAGCTGAAAATGGATCATCTGTCTGGGCAGCACCGTGGCACTTTTCAACACTTCTACAGCAAAAGGCCAGGGGCATCTTTGTTTAGGTCATAACCAATGTCAAGAGGGTTTCCTGTGTGCTATTAGTGGGGTGGAGCTGGCCCTGGGAAGTGGGGAGTAGAGTTTTGTCTCCTTTGGCTTACTATTTCCTTAAAAGGAGCAGAGTAAAAAAATTTTTTTTTTTTCAGAGTAATTCCTTAAACCTGTGTACTAATAATTCTGTAGACCCCCTGGAGGAAATGCCCACTTGCCTGACCATAGTCTTGATCTTATACTGAATGACTCAAGTTAGGAGAAAATTTTATGATGACACCCACGTTGAGGAAGACGGATTATATTCCCATATTCGGAATTTGGTCACAAGAAAGTGAAAAACCAAATTAGCAGTGTAACCAAGAATTCGATAGAGGGATTTTGCTATACTTTAAAGCCAAATTTCAATTATTAAATTCATTAAAAAGAAATCAGCTCTGAATCTATAGTATTTCCCCCTTATCTACGGGCTTTTTATGATTTTAATTACCCATGTTCAATCATGGTCTGGAAATATTAAATGCAAAATTCCAGAGATAAAATATTCTTAAGTTTTAAATTATGTGCCATTCTGAGTAGCGTGATGAAATTTTGCGCCATTCAGCTTCAGATGTGAATCATCCCTCTTTACCCATATTCATACTGTATATGCTATCTACCTGTTAGTCACTTAGTAGCCATCTCGGTTATCAGATCGACTCATGGTATTGCAGTGCTTGTGTTCAAGTAACCTTTATTTTACTTAATAGTGCCATGTTTACATAACTTTTATTACAGTAAATTGTTATAATTATTCTATTATCATTAGTTATTGTTGTTAATCTCTACTGTGCCTAATTTATAAATTAAAATTTATCATAGGCATATATGGTAGGGCCTCTACATGGCAGTACTATAAGACATGCAGCTGGAAGATCAAAATCCACCCACTCATTCCTTAGCAAACATTTACTGGACGCCAATTTTGCAGGCCTCTTGCTAGGCTCAGGGATATGGTAGAAACCAGACAGATGCAGTTCCTGCCCTCATAGCGTCTCTGGCCTGCCTTCTTAGAGGTTTTGTCTTTTTGCTGTCAGCAGCTCATCGCTGGGCCAGGGCACAGCTTTTCCCTGCTTCCCCCACATGACAGCTGGGCCAGAACTTGTCCTAGGGTCTCCTCATGGCTGTGACAGCAGGCCCAAAATGATGCCGAATGCTTGACTTGCTGTGGCACTATCTGCCCAAAATGAAGTGGACAGGCAGGTCACGGGTATTTCTGACAACACAGAGGGCACCCAATGCAAGTACCTCTCTCACTGCCCCCCTGATCCCTGAGGTCTGACTCCTGTGCCTGCTTGACCTTCCCTTGCTTCCTAACCAGAGCAGCGTGGTCTACCCTTCTTCTCCCATCAATATGCTTGGAGCTCAGGGGGGTGCTGAGGGCCTGGGGTCAGGCTTCTTGCTAAGAGCAGTGGGTCCCTGCCTGGGCTGCTGCCTTAGCCAGATGCTTCCTGGAGTGGAGGAGCTATCCTTCAAGCTCTGACAATCTTTGGGGATCCAGGCTGGTTCTGGAGAGGGACCTTGAAGCTTCAGGCAGAGAAAAGGCAAACTCAGCCACCCTGAGAATCCCCTCCTTCCCCAATCACACCCTGTGGAGGCGTAATCTGTCCCCGGTTCTCACCAAGCCTGCTATTTTGTTTATGCCACAATTGATCTGCCATCCCAGTTTGCAAAGAGCAGACACTTGGGGGCTTTATTATGCCACTTTGACAAAAGCTGTGAAGCTCGTTCCCACAGCCTGTCTGGTGCCGCCTTCACAAATGGGGCCCTAGTGACAGGGCCTCTGGAGTTCAGCTCGAAGAGCCTGGAAGCGAGATGGGGAGGCCAGCTGCAATCTCTATCAGGTGGCTTTGGGTGGAGCCGCTGTGCCAGTCAGTGGATACATCCCATCCCTCCAGCCACCCTCTGAGGGTGGCATCATCAACCCCAACAATGCAGGCCAGGACATGGGCCAAGGGAAGTGAGGGTACTCGCCCGAGTTATAGTTTATAAGTGGCTAAGCTGACCCTGAAGCCCATCGTATGGTGCCAGACAAATAGAAAGTCTTGCCTCATCACCTTGGGGACTTTTTCCGATTGTCTCTTCAATGTCAGCTTTGAGGAAGAGAAACATAATTGATAATCCAATTAAGATATTTTGGGGGAGTAAAAGGGCACTACTAATAATTCCCCCAGGACAGCATGTACAAACCAGGGCTATTACAAACAATTGGGATGTTTGATTAAAATGCAAGGCAGGTGTCACTCCAGAGATTTATTTAGTGGGTCAAGGGAGGGGCCCAGGAATCTGCACTTTAACAAATGTCTCCTGGTGATTCTGACGCAAATGGGCTAAAGCCCTTCTTTTAAGAAATAATGTTATAAAGTATTCCTGATGTCTCTTCTGGTTGGAATCTGCCTAGTTTCAAATATTTTGATTTAACTTTTTTTTTTTAATTTCAGCTTTATTGAGGTACGGTTGACAAAATTGTAAGATATTTAGAGTGTACATTATGATACTTTATTGATTTAAATTTTGAGTGACCTAAAACCCTTGTGGTGGACATTGTACCTGCCTGTCTACTAACCATCATCTCCACCTCTAACTGTGGAGCAGCCAGTCCTCTTGGAGAACTGACCCAACTCCAGGAGTGGGCTCTATTCATCTAGGCCAGTCAGGGTTATCCAGTCCCTTATCATGACTGACTCAAGGATGGATAGGCCTAAGCCAGTCAGTGCAAGGCATTTCTGTGGCTACAGAAATTGGCTTAGCAATGGGCATGTGACCCTATTCAGGCCAATCAAATGAGAGAAGAGTTTCTCTGACACTTTCTAGGTTAAAATCTTCTCCCTCTTAAAAGGAGCAGAAGGTAGCCCCAGGGTGGTTGGCAGCCAACTATGGCCATGAGAAGGAGCCAGCCTTAAAATGAAGCTAATACTGTAAAAGGCCAAGTGGATGTAGCCTGAAAGAAATGAGGCCTTGATGACTCTTATGAGCTGTCAAATCAAACTGGCCACGCTGCCCAACCTACCTCTGGACTTCCAGTCGCATGAGCCCATGAATCCATTTTCTTGCTTCAGCCTTCTGTGACTTGTAACCAAACATACACAGACTGGTGCTGATGGCTAAGGAAATAGTACCAGACATGAACTCAAAGGTTTGATTCCTGTTGTGGCCTCTATCAGCCAAATGATTGAAGCAAGTCATTATCACTAACTCCTCTGAGTCTCGATTTCTTCACCTATAAAATGTAAACCTCCCAATGTGAACCCTCTTTGTGAACTGTAATACATTCTGCCAAAGTGTGTTCCTTAAGATGAGATAATAGACTTAATGGGGGGCGGGGCGGGGGGAGAATTCCCATGATTAAAAAAAAATGAGTTAAAGTGAAACAAGTTTATATATTGCAGGACTTTTCAGAGCACTTACTGTGTTGGTGTGACTTATGAATCCAAGGGGGTTATGCTAACACTATCCAGTGTTCCGAAAACCAATTTGACCGCAGAATGGTTTTAATCACCTCATGTTTCAAAGAGTTATTTTTGAGAAAGGCTGTACTCTACCCTCATGAAAAATTAAGAATGAGACATTTAAAAACAGGCATGAGGATTTCCTACATTTTAAAAAAGTCGCCACGACTCTGCAATGTCTAGAACAGTGCCTGGTATGGTAGAATGTGCTTGGGCCAAGTTTGTTGTGTGAATGAACAGACTCTCACTCTGCTTGTTTGGAGCAGTAATTTTTGGACTAGACTACTTATAATCCTCCTAGATATCTTGTTAGATTCTGGGGCGAGGCTCACAATTCTTCATGTCCAACATTGTCCCAGCTGATGACACTGCAGCTGGTCAGTGAACTTTGAGTAGCAAGTGCAGATGACTTGTTGTATTAATTATCTTTTGGGGCCTGTCCAAAAGATAGAAATGAGATTGAATACCCCTTGCAACTTAGAGCTACATCACATTGGCTATTTTGAAGTAGGCCGCCCAGATTTGAATCCTAGCTCCATCACTCCCTAGCTGTGTATTTTTTGAGCAAATTAATTAACCTCTCTGTGCCTCAGTTGTTTCATCTGTAAAATGGAGATGATACTATACCTACCTGATTTTTTTTGTATTAAATTGAGTTAATATATGCAAAACACTTAGAACCATGCCTCATACATTAATAAGCCCTTAATAAAGGTTTACTATTATTATGAATCTACTCTCTACAGTGAATGAGGAAATCTTGTAAAATTAGGCACTGAAAGTTATTTGTTGACTGAATGACTGAAAGTAAATATTTTAAGAACTTCTAAAGGCTGAGAATTAAATATCAGAGAGAGTGGGAAAGCTGAGGTGTGGGGTCAGTGGGTAGGGAATGGGAAAGGACACATTAGGGTTGGCAGGTCATCCAGTTAAATATGAATTTCAGATAATGAATCATATTTTAGTGTAAATATGTCCCATGTAATGTTTGGGACATTCATTTTTATCTGTAAAATTTAACTGGGAGTCCTGTATTTTTATTTGCTAAACCTGGCCATCCTTCCCATGGGCCCTCTAGTCTGCTAGGCAAGCTCCTCTGAGAATCCTTTCCCAACATCCCTATCTCATCTGATCTTTCCTGACTGGCTGGAGGAAGGATTAACAGCCTCCTTGTAATAATCAAGAAGCCTGAAGCTCATTCCAGTCTGGGCCTTGCCCAAGGCTAGGCCAGCAGCCAGGTCTTTCAGTGCCCCTCCCTTTCCAAACAGGGGACAGAGAGATGCGGGGTGGGCTGTGAGGTGCTCTGTGGCTGAAGCTGAGACACTGACTCTCCCGGAGAAAGAGGAAGGCTCTTGGAACCCCAAGGCTGCCCATGTCATCTTTATCTAAGTCACTCCCCCAGGGAGGACAACCACCAGTCTGGAAAAGCTCCAAATCTTTTGGGAGGGACGGGTCTGGAGGAATGGCTGAGAAAAGTCATTAAGGTATTCAGTGGGGAATGAAAATGCGGAGGGGATAATAATAGCTGACACGTGTTGAGCCCTCACTATTTCCAGGCACTGGGCCAAGACTTCATATACATCAATGCATTTTGTCCTCATAACAAATCTACAAGGCACTGGGTTTCATTCATTATGAGCCACAGCCTTTTCCTTTAATTATAACATTCCTGAAATCAAGATGCATCTTACAACCAATGACCTGGCTTAGTTTATTTGATAGCATCTTAAATTCTTTTTTTTCCCCCCCTCTTTAATTCCCCTCGCTCCCCTGACCTATGGATGTTGCTGTCTCCCCTTAAGAACTGGATCTCTGAAGGCGGGGCATCTCCTCCCACGGGCTCGCTGTGCACACCTAGAGCCTGGCACACCTGGGGTATGGTCCATGGCTCCACCTGGGGTGCAAACCCAGGACCTTCTGCGTGTAAAGCAGACGTGCTAACCACTACACTATGCAGCCACCCAGCATCTTAAATTCTTAATGGTATGCAATAATGGTGCATTTAAAATTGATGGTGTTGTCTACAGCCATGCCACCCTGAACAAGCCTGATCCTGTCTGATCTCGGAAGCTAAGCAGGGTTGGGCCTGGTTAGTACTTGGATGGGAGACCACCTAGGAAGACCAGGTGCTGTAGGCATAAAAAATAAAAATAAGAGATTGTAACCTGACAAGGTCCTTGCAATCTATCAGGTCAACCAAGGGTTTCCTCACCTAAAATAAAAATAAATAAAATAAAATCGATGGTGTTTTAGATTTGATGAACAACCATGGGAATTATTATCATCCCCAAGTGTGAGATTAATAAACAGAATTACATTTAATAGATAAAAGGCACAGGTTAAATAATTTGCCCAGATTCCAGAAGTAGCAAGTGGCAGAACCCAGACTTGAAAGGAGAAGATAGAGCTTGTGATGTTATAAGAGAGAAAGTCAAATACACAAGAATTTGGAAGAAAAAAAAGTATGTTGCTTCTCACTGGAGCAGCAGTTTTTCACTCCGGTTGCACAAAAGAATCACTTGGGAAACTTAAAACCAACCCCAAGGCCCATGAGCACCCAGGCAATTTAGGTCAGAATCAGGTCAGAGGTCCTCCTGGTGGAGTGACTAGGAAAGACTCATGGTGGAAGAGATATCCTGCTCAGTCTTGAAGAGTGGGTGGGATTTCGAGAGGAAGTAGGGGCGTGGTTTAAGAAAAGCACGCCCGGTGGGAGAGTGCACAGGACGGGCTGTGGCGGGGTGGGGAGGTCAGCCTGGCTGGTTCCCAAGTGCAGCTCAGTGCCTGGCCCACCAGCAGTATGCAATAACTCTTGCAGATGGAGTGGGTGAACCTGTGGAAAAAAGACGAGGCTGGGAGAACTTTCCCTCCAACTCGTACTGGAGCTGGACGTACAGGAGCTTTGTAGGAGTGAGAGCATCACCTGGCACTTCTAGAGGCTTCTCCGGCACCTGAGCAGGGCATCTGACAACATGTTTCGTCTTCTAGAAACTGATAGGCTCTGGAAACCTCCAGCTACAGAAGATAAACTCAGCAAGTCTCCATTCCTGCAGCTTGGGAAGGGCCGACATCACCTTTCTTGGAGAGTTGAGAGCAGAAGATGGTGTCAGACTCTGGGACCTCCACTAGCAAGTAATGTGGACATATTACTTCTCCCTCTGAAAGTGGCCTGATGACAGCCTTCCTCAGAAGGTTATGAGGAGTAGATGAGGACGGGGCTCCCACATGCTTCCCACAGTGCCTAGGACATGGTAAGTGCTCAAAACCCAGCAAGCTTAATTGGGAAACACCACGGGCAAGTAGTGGCCCTTGCATCACGGCTTAAGCGTACCCCGGTTTCACCTGATGCGAGATATAGACAAGCCATGACTAGGAATTTTGGCGGCAAGGAAAACCTCCCCTGAGACCAGCTCTACCGCTGACTTGCCATCCTTTCACCTTCCTGGGTCTCAGTTTCCTCAGCTGGTCCAGGTGAGTGGCATCACCCACTCTGGGCTTGGGTCGGGGGGAGGCCTACCAAGAGGGAGGCGCCACCTTCTCCAGTCCCAAAATTGAGTGTGGCAGCCGGGTGGGATACTGGAAACGGGACTGTTGTGGAAAAGTTGAGACTGTGGGCTGCTCTCCTTGTTGGCGTTTATGGAGTTGTCTAAATAGCAGATTAGATGGACAGACACCCTGAGGGCTGCAAGCCTGGTTTTCTCTGCTCCATAGCCAGCGTGAGGCTGGGCTCATACTGAATGCTCAGTGACTCAGGCCAAAGAGGCGCCGGCCAGCAAGGCGCATGGAAAAAGTGGGCCCCTCCCCATTTTCCTGTTTGCTTTTGGCTTGTTTTGTGGGGGCCTTTTTTGGGATGATCTTCTGTGTTTGATGAGAGCAGGAGGGCTGGTGATTTTTAACATTAGGGAAGTTTTGGTTAGGTATGAGCAATGGGCAAGTGACTCCAAGAATCGGCTTTGAACCATGGCACTGCTTTCCTTGCTGGTGGGGCTGACTCGAACCTCCCCTCACTCTGCGCTTCGTCTGTGCGATTAAGGTTTTCTCTCCTCACCAGAAATCATTCAGCAAAATGAGTTATTAAAAGCTGGTTAACTACTCCTACCTCCGGGTAGCTCCTGCTTAACAACCTCTCCCGGGGAGCAGCTGTCAAGCTCAGGCCCCGTGGAGCTGGCTGGCGGGAAGATGACTCATTTACATAGAGCCTGTCCTCCGTCCTGTTCCCCCCACCCCCAGATCTGTCCCTGTCTCTCTGATGACTAATCTTTTTCAGGGATGAGATCACCACCCTTCCTGCCCCCCACAAAAAGAGCAGAGCCCTAGCCTCAGCCCAGAATTGTGAGAGAAAACTGAATCCGAGACCAAGGAAAGCAGGGACAGTCCCTGAAGGGACAAAAGCCTGGCCAACAAGAGCCTGGAGTCAGGGCAGTGAGATGAGAAAAGCCCAGATGACTGCCTTGGCCCTGTTCCTTGCTCCCCAACCTCAGAATCCCCACACAGGGCTGTGGTAGGGCACATGCTGCCTCTCAGAAAGGCAGACAGACCTGGCTGTGGGGAGACGGCAAGTCTATCCACCTCTGCTTGGAAGTGTCAGTACAATGTCAAGTGAATCACATTTTACCTCAAAGCATTTGTGATAGATGAGCAGATTTTCAGAAAGGAAACCAATGGTGGTTCCTGTAAGCAAAGACTCCTGCTCTCACGTGGACAATTCCAACTCTGCTCAGTCAATTCAGTTTTTATACACCTGGAGAAGCACCCCGCATCCCTGCCCGATAGAAGGCGGGGGCCTCTGTGCCCAGGCTGAGGGGAGACATAAGGAAAGGGGCCGAGAGCCTGAGAAGCTAGATTCCAAGCCCTCTGGACAACTCCCTCAGGCCTGGGGACCATTTCTCGGGCTCTGGATCTATCAGTCCAAGGAGTTGTCCCAGGGCTTGCCTCCTGTCCCTAACCTCTTCTCACGGAAGGTGGCCTGGTTGGCTGTACCAGAGGAGTGGTAAAGATGAGAAGGCAGGATGAGAACAAACCCATACTTTAAAGCTGCAGCCAGGGAAGCATGCTAGAGCATCCATAGAACCCTGTGTCTGCTCTGCTGGCTGGCTGACATGCCCGCTGCCCAAGGTCAGTGAAGGCTCTCTGTTAGGTCCTGGCTGGGTCATGAGGCCCCTGGACTGAGGCTAAGGGGTGATGCACCCCCTCTTCCAAACCAGGTAGGGGCCAGTTCCTACTTCACATTCTGTTCTCAGCTGCCTACAAGGAAGGGAGGTTGATACCTGGCTTACAGGAAGTGAGGGATGGAGGGGCTTGCTTTATGGAGCCCCTAGCCAGTGCTCAGACTCTGCAGGTGCTTCCACAGACATATCCCCAGAGTGACTCCTGGGAGTAGGGGGTTATTGTCATTATTCAGGTGAGGAAACCAAGGCTCAGAGAAGTAACGAGTGAAAGAACACCACCAACACGCAGGTCTAACCGCCACACCCACGTCTCTTTCCATTGCACCTCGAGGCCTGATTTAGCCTTTGGTTTAGAGAACACAGCTGTGATTTTGCTCTGAAACATGCAAATTATTGTACCAAGCCAGGGACTTTGCCAAAATGCCTGCCCTGGGTCTGTGGCATGAGTGCACCAGATCCTGAGTGACAGGAGGTAGAGGCTGGGGCTCGGTGGTGTCAGGGACCTCGTTCAAGGTCACAGAAAATGGCACAACCAGGACTCCTACTCAGGTCTGCCCAGCTCCAAGTTCTGCTTCCTTCCAGGCATCACCTTGCCGTTAGCCTCTCCCCCTATTTGCACAGAGAGGCTCTGATGACCTGGGACCCAGACTCCCTAGTTTCTCTCTCCTTCTGGTCTGTTCTGCACATTGTTCTAGATCGATTGTGTTAAAGCACAGCTCTGCCAGGATTGCTCTCCTGCTCATACCATGCCGAGCTCTTATTTGACAGGAGGATCTAGAATTTCTTAGATTGGCATTCAAGGCCCCGACCCACTTTTCTGGCATCATCTCCCCTCTTTGAAACTTCTTCAGGCCCTCAGGTTCCTTCACTGACTTAGTCATACACATATATTCATTTCCCAGGTATTTACTAAAAGCCTGCTCTGTGTCACGCACTGGGGGTGGGACATGAGGTGAGCAAGACAGTCAGAATCCACGCTTACACAGAACCTAGCATCCAGCAAATGTACCAGGAACGTTCTCGCGTCCATGCCTGTGCACCCACTGTTCCCCAGCTTTCAAGGTCTACAACAACTTATAGCCTTTTCTCTTCACCTGTCTGCATCCAATTCATCACCTGGTAGCTCTTTCAGCCCCTCAGGCATTTAGCTATGTGCTGCCTGTGACCACTGTTCCAGAGCATCATTTAACCCTTTCAGTTTTTCTGTGTTGTCTTGTCTGTAGGATGCAGCCAATGTCTTAGATGTCCTCTCGCCCTCTATAAAGCGGGTGCTCACAGAACAGCTGCTAAATTCCTGACAGAACTGGCAGTTTGTCTAGTGGTCACAAGCAGGTGCTGTAAGAGTCAGGGTTTCCATCTTAGTTTTAGTTAATTTATCTGACATGTTCCTGAGACCTGCTATGTGCCAGCTAGGGAAGGAATATGATGATGTGTGATATTGTCCACACCCTGCAGCCAGAGGCCACCACGAACACACCCACAGTTGGACAAAACTGAGTGTACTGACTCATGGCGACAGGGGAGACTGTATATCATGGGGAGCTGCGGGGCGTCTCAGTTCGTGAATAGCAGAAAGGACTTATTTAGGATTTCAGCTTGAGTTGGGTGATTTTGGGGAAAGCTCAAGGAAGCAAGGCTTTGCTCTGAATTGGATGCTGCCAAGGAGCAGGGATAATTCTAGGGCTGGGTGTCTTGATAATTCTTACCTAGAAGGTGGGACTAATGGAGCAAGTTTAAAGCTGTGATTGGTCAAGAAGCAGCAATCGCTCACATTAAACAGAGGGCAGCGCCTGGTCATTTTTTGTGGTTTGGATGGTGTTCTCATTTGGTCTATGTTCAGAGATGATTATGGGTGCGTGGTCTTGTTTTCATCTCACTTCATCGTGGTCATAACACTTGGTCTGATGTAGGAGTCCTGTGAAGCGGCTCGTGTTCCACATCAGGGCCCCCAGCCTCGCTGTGAGCGCCAGGCTAGATCCCTGCTCTCGGGGGCGGCTCTGCTCTTCTCAGAATGGCTCTCCACTCAGCGTTCCACCGCGGCATTTGATTGGATGCCACTCAGTATTTGTTTTTAAAGCAATTCTTTCCAAGTCTTCCGATGTATTTGGCTGTATCTGTGCCTGTGTGTGCGCACACACATGTATTTAATTTCATAGGTGATACACACCCCTAGGTTGTGGGTGGTTTTCATTTTAATTTTCTTCTATATGTTTTTATAAATATTTCACATTTCCTGTGGTACAAATGGGGCAGTTGCTACTTTGGAAACTATAACTTGTCCCCCAATAAGCATTGTTATGTTTAAAAACGTATAAATAAAATGAATAAAATAAGGCCTCTGTTCTCAAAAGAATGATCGTTATGAAAGTAAGAGCCTGGGTGACGCTGGGGGACGCTGGGAAACAAGAGAAGAGACCTGGGAAGGCTTCCCGGAGGAGGCGCTGCTGGCTGAGTCATACAGATGCCTTAGCCAGGCAGGTGGAGGTGACGAGGGAGGGTCTGGGAGGTCTGGGATGTGGATTCAGGGGTCATATGGATTAGACTTCCCAGGGGTCATGTACAGTGTGAGAACAAGTGCCCCTGGGGAACTCTTTAAAGGGCAGATGAGGAGCCTGTGAAGGATGCTTTCATTCAGTCAATGAATTCTTCTTTCTTTCTTTCTTTATCTAGATCTAACTATCTGGTTAGAAAAACTTATTATATTTAATTTTCTTTAAACACATACCTTCTCCCTCCTTCACCCACTCCAGCCAAATATTTATTGAGGACCTACTATGTGCAAGGCACTGTGCCAGGCACTTGGGATACAGCAGTGATCCAAACAGATGCCTCACGAGGCTGTATTTCAGCATGAGAGATGGATAATCTACAAACATCATACACAAGTAAATTATGGGATAAGAGTGTTCCAGGCCAGTCAAGAGCTGGAGCAAAGGCCCTCAGGCTAAGAAATGGGGGGGTAGAGAATAAGAGAAGAGAGAAAGAGAAAGCACACATTAGACATAGAGATTAGTCAGCAACCCTCTCATGGACACGCTCGGGGCAAAGTTTAACTTACACAAATGCCCTAGAATATGAGAAAACCTAACATTCTCATTTTAACTTTGAATGAGAGATAAACAGATAAACCAGTGGTTTTATGAAAAGAGGAAAAAATACACTAAATAATTCAAGTAGATTTCAAGGGGCAATGGAGATGTTGAATATAACTGATAACTGCCTTTCTTTTCTGTCAGCAGAATCTCATACCATTTAAGAAGGAATTAAGATTATAAGAACAACCATTAACATTTTAAATAACCCTAGACAGTACGTAGTGCAAATTTTTTTTGTCTTATTACATTTGGTCATCACTATAACCCAGGAAAGAGAATGTCATCCTTTTCCCCATTTTATAGACAAGGAAATTGAATTTGTGGGAGGTAATGTGACTTCGAGTCTGAGCAAGAATTTGTACCTCCTGTCTCTCAATCTCATCTCTCAAGCCTAACATCTTTCAGTTATAACAAAATATTCGAGGGCATGTCAGTTTTATTTTGTATACAGTGTTTACATGCTCTCACTCAATGTTTACTTGTTAAAACTCTACATGACGGTAATAATAATAAATAATGTGATAATAAAGCCAGTCACTCTGGCTGCTATGTGCAGAGGTGGGATCAGGGAGTCCATTTTGGGGCTGTGGCATCTGACGGATCTGGGTGGCCCAAAGCACGGTGGTAGCAGAAGGGGACTAAGGAAGGGCGGCCAAAGGGAGGACATAAAAGCAGGAGTCACTAAAGTCACTAAAGCCAGAGGAGACAACTGGTTTATAGGAGCAAGAATGAGGAGGCAAGGAAGCTTCTAGAAAGATCTAGTAAGATAGACACCTAACAGTTTCCCTGGGACTTGACAACTAGCTGGTTCTAGGCAGGAAAGGACGGGGCACAGCCTCATGGATGGCAGACTGCAGGGGGCTATAGAAGGTGCCAAGGGGGGGGGAAGAAACAGACACGGGGAGTGGGGACAGCCCTTGAAACCGCTTTACCAGGGAAGGCTAAGCTTACGGTCATGCCTGGCAGAACTCAGGGTCAAGACAGGTGCTTCACTTACTTAACCACAGGGAATGTCATGAATTGTATGTTTGTGTTCCTCCAAAATGTATATGTTGAAATCCTAACCCCCAAGGTGATGGTAATAAGAGGTGGCACCCTTGAGAGGTGATTTGGTCATGAGGGTGGAGCCCCTATGAATGGGATCAGTGCCCGTATAAAAGGGACCCAGAGAGCTCTCTCGCTGACTTTCTACCATGTGGGGACACAGTGAGAAGGCAGCTGTCTGGAAAGCGGGAAGACGGCTCTCACCAGACACCAAATCTGCTGGCACCTTGATCTTGGATTTCCCAGCATCCAGACTGTGAGAAATAAATGTTTAAGCCACTCAGTCTATGGCATATTTGTTATAGCAGCCTGGATGGACTAAGACAGGGAGGCTGAGTAACTTGCCCTAGTATCAGAATATGGTGGTTAAAATTCCAGGCCCTGGAGTCAGAGACATGGGTTGTATCTAGGCCCCACCACTCATTCAGAGCTACTCGCCACACCTCGTCTAGCAAATAGAGACAGTATTACCTCACCGAGTTGCTTTGAGGATCAGATGGGACAGCTTCTGTACTCAGCAGAGTGCTTGGCAGAGTAACTACTCAGTAAATATGCTTATTATTAAGGTCATAAACCCCACAAATGGCAGAGAAAGGAGAAGGTCTAGCTGGGCAGACCTCTGTCTTGAAGAAAATACAAATGATGGTCTGAAATTTCATAACGGCCTGTCAAGTATCAGATCTTGCTTTAAAGGCATTCACTCTCTGTCTTAGTCTGTTTAGGCTGCTATAACGCAATTCCATACACTGAGTGGCTTAGGGTCCCTCTTGTGGGGACTCTAAATGCCATCTCTATATTAAGTCAGGTCATCAGAAAATAGCAACTGCGGACCATATTATCCTTGCTCCCCACAGAAATGCTTTCACTATGGTTTAATGTTTCACTTCCTGACTTTAAAAAGGGATGATGGAAACAACTTTTTGAAGATTATGTCAGGCTTCTGCAAAACCAAAGGAAAAAATATCATTGCCTATGTCCCTTATTTAGAGATGTATGCGATTCATTTCTCCTTGAATTAAAGATCTGAAGTGTTGGTTTCCTGGGGGCACTTGTGCCCTCGCTCCCTTTTTCTTGAATGCTGAGTGCCCAGTTTGCCTGTGCAATGGATGCTCAGAGCCAGTGTAGTGATCACTTGCTATAGGACTGTCCCAGCGCTTGGTACATTTCTCACCAGTTTTCAATTATCTTTCAGCTTCCATCATCCCTCCCTCTCCTTTCCCTTGTCTTTCTCCTGTCCACAAGATCTGTTGAACACCCGCTATGTGTAAGCATTCTGCTAGGACACAGCTCTACCCTCTTAGAGCTTACAGTTCAACTTATACTAGTTTTATCACTTGTTCAAATCCTTTGTGGCAGTAAGCTGGCTTTTAGTCATATTTGATAAGCAACAGCAATTTCTGGAAATCCTCAAGTCACAGCAGTCCCACCAATATATGCATCTCTTTCTCCAAGATGGTCTTTAAAATGCGTACCGACTATGCTTCACCCAGGAAGGTTCTGAAATTAGGTTCTAAAATGCATACCGACTATGCTTCACCCAGGAAGAAGAAATTAGAACATAGACATGCATGGAGAGAAGTCTATGTGAAGACGCAGAGAGAAGACAGCCACCCTACATGTCAAGGAGAGAGGTCTTGAACTTCTGGCCTCCAGAATTATGAGAAAAGAAGCCATGCAGAGAGAAGACAGCCACTCTACATGTCAAAGAGAGAGGTCTTGAACTTCTGGCCTCCAGAATTATGAGAAAAGCTGACCAATACAGCCTGTTTGCTAAGCTGCAGCAGCCCTGTGTTGCTGCACCTTGCTTATTCTGTGTTTTGCAGCAGCGTTGGTAGCAGGGAGCTCAGATGCAAAGCTTAGTTTCTGAGCCTTGATCAGGAGGCTGTGTTTATATTTATCCTGCTAACTTCAGGGGACTGTTTATACCCAGAGCAATAACCTCCCAGGCGAGGTGGGGGCAGCGGAGGAACCAGCTGCTTCTGTCAGACCCACTGAGTTCCTCCGGAGGGGGCACACAGGCTCAGGCCCTCAGGCCCGTGGTTCTCCTCTCATGGGCCACCTCTCTTCAGGCTCTCTCTGGTGCTGGCTCTTCTCACCCCCACACTGGGCTTAGGCTCCAGGGACAGAGTCTAGTCGCCCTGCACAGGAGGATTGCACAGAGGCCTGCTGCTCCTCAGAAGCTCTCTAGAATATGCACAGCCCAAGGACTGGTGCCTTTGCAAATGAGTCACAATTCTAGTCTCACTCAGATCCAACACAATACCAGGTATTTAGTAGGTGCTCAGTAAACAGAATAAGAAGGAATTTAGGTTTTTAAAAATTACAGTGGTCCACGCTTATCCACGACTTCGCTTTGGGCAGTTTCAGTTACCATGGTCAATAACAGTTTGAAAATATTACATGGAAACTTCCAGAAACAAGCAATTCATAAGTTTTAAATTGCATGCCCAGGACCTGAATCAGCCTTTTTTCCAGCATATCCGGGCTGTATATACTACCCACCCATTAGTCACTTAGTAGCCATCTCCATTATCAGATCAACTGTCCTGATATCACAGTGCTTGTGTTCGTGTACCCTTATTTTACTTAATGATGTCCCTTAAGTGCAAGAGTTGTGATGCTAGCAATTCAGGTATGCCAAAGAGAAAGTGCTTCCTTTAAATGAAAAGGTATGTACGTATAGGAAAAAACAGTATATACAGGGTCAATATGATCCGCCAGTTTGGACATCCACTGGGGGTCTTGGACCATATCCCCCAAGCATAAGGGGGGACTGCTGTAGTCTAGACTCATACCTTCATAAATGTAAAGCGACTCTGCTGCCGGTTCTCCCTTCTTGCTCTGTTTCTTGGGAGATTTCAGGGGAGGGTCTCCTGGAAGTGGGCGCCAGCCACCCTGGGCTTGACCTAGGGCCTTGCATCTGAACTGAGCTTTCTGGAGCCTATGAGAGGTTTCAGCTGGACCCTGGCCACACTGCATAGATTCTTTTGTTGTCAGAGAAATCACTGCCGCACAGTGACCCTTGAGGTCCTCAGCAGGGACAGCATATGAGATGATGGTACCAAAGCCAGGTGAAGGTGCCCAGGCTTCTGCTGCCTGCAAAGAACTCAGGGGTGTGGGAAGCCAGTGCATGCCACAGCGAGCAGCCAGGAAAGACACAGAAAAGCTTACAGGTTTTCTGCACTGGCTAGTGGAAAAACTTTATACTCTTGGGTGGATAAATACATGGGTCAGCCTACACACTGACATGCAATGTATTCTCTTTAAAGGAATTATTTTAGGTGGGAATTTTAATTTACTCGAGCAGGTGTGTTAATGTAACTGAGAAAGAGAGCTGCCAGAGCATTATATCACAAACCCTGTCACAACCACCACCACCACCACCACCACCACAAAGAGCAACAATCCCCACCACAACAAGCACAGACGACAACCACGTTTTTTTAGCTCTGATCGTTACACTGTTGCCTTCCCTACTAGGCTTCTATATACTAGGACTGATGGTTTTAAAGGTTATTTTCACACATAGTTTATTCACCTTTCCTCCCAACCATCTATGAGGTGGGTGCTATTGTTCTGTTTTCAGATGCACCATCTGAGGCTCTACAAGGCATGGTTTAAGGCAAGAAGGTTGGGGAGGGGGTGTCAAAACTTGGGTCAGTGACCCTAGAATGGCTAACCTTCCCCTTGTGGGTCTCTGATCTCTGACAACACAGTGTCTAGGGATTCCAGAGCAAGAAGCCCATTGGAAGCTCAGCTGTCCCACTAGGTGCTTCTGCCCTGCGGCCAGTCACCCCAGAAAGCAATGGTATATTCTCTCAGGCACCTGCTCTATGGGTTCTTTGGGAAAAAGGATAGAGAAAGGATCAGGATGGTTGTGAGGATGCTGCCCATGGACTGGTCTTCTGCGAGCTGGGCCAGCAAGATAGGGCTGCGGGATGGGTCAGTCCCCACTGCTCTCTGCCGCTGTGTTTCTGGAGGTCCGTAAAAGGATGTGTAACATCTTTAAAGTCTTTCCCATCTCTCGGTGAAGGAATGAAGCATTGTCCACTCAGCTTCAATTCTCAAAGTTGTTTCTGCCACTGATGGGAGGAGGGCGAGGGTGCTTGTCACCAAAGAGCCAGGAGGACATCCCATCACTACTGTTGGGAGCAGGGGATCCCCAGATGTTGTCTCAAGTCCCTGGGGCCTGTCCTCCCTTAGCTCTTGGTGGCAGCAAAGGCTGAGCAATGTTCTAGAACCATCACCACCAATTTCACCTATCCTTCTTTTGGACTGACCTCCACTTGGACGACAGACACACAGACATGCCAGCCCTCCCCCTGCATCGCCCCATCCCCCCACACCACCCCTTAACAACACGTGATGTCTGAGGTAAGCTAGGCCAAAGGAGTTCTCATCGTTAGATCTTAGTGAAGCCTCAGCCCATCCTTCAGGGAGGCCTCACAGCCGGGGAAGCCCTGGTACTTCTGCCCAGGGCCTCCACCATGAACGTCATCTCTGAATGACGGATTGTTTACTGAGAACAGCAGCTCGGGAAGCCTTTCTCTTTCAAACCCCACCTTTCCAGGCCCTAGAGCTGGCTAGCACCATTGTTCCAAGTGTTCTCACTAAAACACACCAGTCCCGTGTACCTTCCTGAGTAACTCACAGGTTGAGAAAGCTATAATTTCATGGGATTTGTTTTAAATGCTCTTTGTTGGCAGACGTGGGCTCAACATGAGCGCTCTGTAATTTTCCAGCCTCCTAAATGGCCCCCCTGTGGCTAATACGTACCACGCACCAAACATAACCCACCCTCTTTCCACCCTCTAGGCAACCCAATTACTCACTCACATGGTCTACACCAGGGCCCTCCTTGGGGGGTCCTGTGGAGGGTGCAGTCATGCTTCTGACAAACTATGGCACATGCTCTCCAAGGAATACTGTGCTTCCTCAAACAGGGATGCTTTAAACAGTTTATTTCTACATTACATATCAATATATGAAAAGTAAGACTCCAAATTTTAATCCAGAAAAAAGACTCAAAGGAATATCTCCATAGTTCTATTTTAGAGGAGGAAATATGGGAATTTTTTTTTTTCATTTCTTTGTGCTTCTCTTTTTCAAATGTTCAATAATGAAGATACATTATTTTGACGAATTAAAGATTATTCATTTTGTTATTATTTTTTAAAAGCAGAGTCTAACAGTCTGGTGGGGAGAGAAGTCGGATCATCACTGGCAGAAGCAAAACGAAGGAGAAGAGCCAGGGAAGCCTGAATTATTACAGTGGGCTCTGCAGAGGAAGTGGCCTTTGAATGCTACGTGGATTTTGGATAAGAGAAGGGGAGAGGACAGGAGAGTGTGTTCTGGGCAGAGTATGCTGTGGTTAAGACCTAGAGGTGCACGATACCAGGTCTCGTTGGAGTAGAGCTAAGGTGCAGCAAGGGGAGTGTTAGCTACACTCAGGCCAGGGCCATCTGCAATTCAATCATGTTAGTATCTGTTACGTCTCTAAATTCCTCAGTCAGGCAGCACCAAGTCTGCCGCTCGGAAGGGTGTGGGGTGGGGGGCGGAATGGCAGAGGAGGCAGGGGCTCCTGAGTTAGAGTCTCAGTCCTGTCACTCACTAGCTCTTTGATCTGAGAAAGCCCTTAAGCTCTCTTTGCCTCAATTTCCTCATCTATAAAATGAGGCTATGAATTGTACTTACTTCCAGAGGACGGTGGTGAGGAGCAAGTGAGATAAAGTGTGTAAAACGTTTTGCATAGCGCTTAGAAATGTTGACCATTTGTGCTGTTAGAGAACAAAGAACAGAATTTCTAAAGATAGGGGATAAGGAAGTACAGAGAAGAGGAAGGTGGTAGAATAAAAATTCCAGATTGAATTTCGCTAAGCTTCTTTTGCTTTCTTTGGGTAAACAATTTGCTCAGGAGGCCAGCTGGCATTATCTATATGCTCTCTTGGGGAGGAACTCACCCCACGATCTTCTCCCAGAGAAAGAGACCACCAGTGGACAGGGAAAAGCTGTAAATGCAAGAACTTAAGTGCCCCAGGAACAGCCCTTCCCCTATTCAAAAATTTGCTATGGCTTCCCAGGGCCTAGAGCTGTGGGGCCTAGTTTTCTGGCTTGGACTATTACCACTCTGCAATTATTGCAAGGGCGTCTGAATCTATTTATTCACTGAGCGTTGTTCTCAGCCATAATAACTTTCTCCTACATGCTCATGCTATTTGTTTCCAAATATATGTAAATGTAAAACCATTAATGCATTTAAGAGTGGTATTGAATTAATTCAGAGGACTTTGTATAAATACGTGTTTCTCCTATTAACAGATGCTGAAAGTATATATGACCTCTATCATATGTGTTCTGTAAAAATATTTCTAGCATTTAACGTGATCCTCAGATTTCAGAAGGTTGGGAGACTTCTACTTCACGATGATCATCTCATCACCTGAATGTATCTGCTCTCCTTGTAAGACCCTATTAAAATGATGGTAAAAGGTTATAAAGGTGTAAACCATGACACTGAGAACGGGGAGGGAGGCTTCCAGGAGATGAGGAATGTCAACATATCTCTGGAAGGTGGACAGCAGATGAAAAAGTGTTGATAATGGAGGTGAGTGCAGCTCAGAGAAGGAGACAGCTGAGGAGGGGAAGGAGATGAAGTGCCCCAAGGAACCCTGGGAAACACCACATAGATAATGGCGGGCTGCCCACCCACTGACCTACAGAGAAACTTGAGTCTACAAGTTTATGTACTCTGAGTTTCCAGTTACATTTTGTACTTAAATGTGAAGGGAGAGCCATAGTTCAGACATCTGAGAAAAGCCTGCGACCTCTCTCTTAGTTCTCCTCTTAGCTCAGCCACTCCTTCATCTTTTGGAAACTAAGGTTCTGTCTTCAGATCTCTTCTCTGCTGGGTCCCATGATCACTCCCTGGGACTCAGTGGTTCTAACCTCAGCTGAA